ATGCGGATATTATTAAAAGTTATAAATAACTGAAATTTATACATATATATTTTCATAAAATAGTGTGCAACAAAAGTATCATATACATCTGTCTATTCGATCTAAATATATATAAATAATGCTACCAAAACAGAAAGTGGATCCCCAATAAACTTCACTTGTCACTTTCAAGTGTCAACAACTTGCCGTGACGCAATGAATGATTTATGACGAACGTTTGATGATAACGTGATTTTTAGATGTGAACCCGTTTTGATGCCAATTAACCAAATATTAAGCCAATTTAACACGCGCGTTGTATTAATTACCAAAACGCCAAATGTCCCCTTTTTCCTTGCTTTTTCTCTTTTCTTTTCCCTCCTGAAACCCTTTCAACTTATCCTAATTCGCGATATCGTTCAATTGTTTAAGCATTTGAATCCCATCGTCTTTCAGCTGCGGTTGTCCATTGACGACGGGCAATTTGAAAAATGCCGGCTCAAATTCTTCCTTCTTTGCTTTTGCCGCAGCGGCTTTTTGTCTTTGTCTTTCTTCTACCAACTGTTTCTCTTTTGTAGCATGGGAGTAGTCTTTTGATAAAATAGCGGAGGTAACGTTTTGCCATACTTTGCGCGACTCTAAAGGTCCTTGTTCAGCAATAGGTTTTACTATTTTTGGAATCGGGTCAATTGCTTCCATATTGAGGACAAGCCTTGTTTCCTGAGATAATATGAATTGAATTTGATTTAGCAAGAAATGTCACGAATGGTTTGAGATACGGTATGGGCTTGATTACTTAAATTCTCACTTACGTTAGTTCGTCTAATTTTTGCGTGTACTTCTCCCCTCCAACTCCCGTAAACTTCACAGAGAACTGCTTCTTCATCAACACTCTTTAATTTTTTAATATCATCGTTCTCGGGATCGTACTTGAATATTTTGCCTTCGATGGCAAACCTTGGTTTACCAAGCCATCTCTATCAAATACAAAGTTGTTCGACAGTAATTGTTAGCATCAAGAATCTCCTTCAACATGCACTACTCTACTGAACCGTAATTGCTTACTTCTTCTTTATATTCTAGTATAGCCTTCAACTTGGTCTTTGGACATGTAACGATGCAAGCTTCACCAACTACAATATACAATGAGCCTTTTAACCATCCCTGGATAGCAGCGACCGGGTGCGTCATCAAATATTCCTCGTTATCACGTTTATCTAACTTCAAATATATTCCCTTATTACGGTCTCCTGGACCAATCTTTACGGCTACAAAAAAAAATTAATTTACATAAATACATGACACGTGTCGGCAGACAGACGGAACTTGACGTGACAATCGGTTATACCCACATGTTCCTGTAAACCTTGCTGAAATGTGATCAAGTCCACATGCAGTTACGCCTTTCTCTTCGCAGTGATAATAAAATGCCGAGACGGGCGGATGATGTGAAATTTGCTCGTTAATGCAAGTGACTCTGTGTTTACTTTGACTGTTTGAAGTGGCCACACCGGGTGATGCTGCTAGATTGCCCTTCTCGTCAAATGAGGGTGGAGTAACCTCCCAATAACAAAAGAATTGCTCTCCTAATATGGAATTATATGGTTTGATCAATTTTCCTTTCTGTGGGGGAAATAAAAGTTGAATGTTAGAATCAGTTTGCGAAAAATAATAGACTTGTTGGAGAGGGTATTCATTTGTAAATATTGTCTTACCACAAACTTTAGGTCTTTTGAATACCACCAACGAATTGCCGCGAGCATCCTTTCGAGAGGATCATCAGAATCGCC